CCGCCTCAGGCCCTCGTACCTCAGGCCGCCGGCGGGGCGGGGCCGCCGCGGTTTGGCGCGCCGGGATTGGTTGAGGTGGCTGCCTGTCACCCCGCCGGAGGGCCGCTGCCCCTCGCTGGTGGGGAGCTGCCCCCGCCGCCGCCGAGCTGCCTGCTGGCGGGGAGAGGTGGGGCGACCCCATTGGCTGGGGCGGCTGCCACTCAACGGGGGGCAGCCCGCCGGTACCTGCCGAAGCGGGGCGCCGGCCGCCCCGCCCCCGCGCCGAGCACCTGTGCTCATTGGCGGGGCGAGCTGTCTGTCAGGCGGGGCTGCGCCCGGGGGCCCGCCCTCTCCCTCTTTGTGCCTGAGGGACAATGGTGGTCGGTGGGCCCGGGTTTGGCCGTGCTCCCGGTGTACCGCGCTGGGGATGACAAGCGCAGCCGATCCCGCCCCGTTACTGGCCTAACGAAGGGGGGCGGCCACCCCTAGATGAGCCGCCTCCGCCCGGGGGTGAGGAGAAGGGAGTGTCTTCACCCCAGCGGTGGGTTCCCCCGTGGGTTCCCCGGCTGCAGGCCGCGGGGGGCAGAGCTCCTGAGGGAGCCGCTCCCACCACGGGTTGCATCAGCACGGGTGTGGTGTGGCAGATGGCAGCTCCTGGCTGATAATGCTCCTCCTTAGCTCCAGAGCAGACCTTCACAAGCTGTGGGGGTGAGGGCTCGGTCTGAGATGAACCAGAGCGGTGGGGTGCCTTGCTGAGGTACTTCTGGGACCAGTTGTGATTTGCCCCCATCCGTGCTGGCCTCCCAAGAGAAGGGACCGTCTAGGAAGGGGTGGGAGGGCGTATCTTGGAGGGAGCCTCCTTCAGTGTAGTGAGTCATGGATTCATGCTCCTCCCTCCTGACCTCTGCTGCCAGCGATTCAGATTTTGTTGTTTCAGAGGGGTCTGTGTGGTGCTCCCTTCTTTCTCCATCATCTCAATTTCTGCTGAATATTTTTTGCCATGTGACACGTGGACCCGCTAGCTTAGCATTTCTCATCTTCTTGCTTTCTTTTTCCCATAAGCTGGATTATTGTAGGTCTTCTCAGATCGAACTAATTATTTTTCTGACTTCTTTGCTGTTGATCCCAATTTCCTCTCTATGACTTGAGCTCCCTGATACAATTTTGGTTTTGTTTCTTCCCCTGAAATCACAGCAGAGAGACTTAAGATAGATGTTGAAGAGAAGTATCTAGTGGAAGAGAAGATTCTAAGCAGTAGAATTGACTATGCGGAGGAAAATGTGTTGTCTCCTCTATTGGAGACATTAAAGGATAAGTTAGGTTGATCGTTCTTAGAAATGACCGGAGTAGGGCTGACCCCGCTGTGGTGTCGAGTGATTAGCCAACCATTACAGTTATTTCCAGGCACTCTGGTGCTGTGAGGATGAGTTTGTTGTGCTGGAGTCGCAGTCTCTATCTAATTTCAGCTTGTCCTTTTGTTATTTAGCGCAGTGATCGCTGCTGCTGCTGCTTCAGACCTTTCTTCAGGCTCACGTGCCAGCAACCGACTGCTTCTTTTCTCGTTTTATCAGCTGGTCCTATAAAAGCTAATTCTTCTTCCTTTTCCAATTAATGATTTCCCTCCCTGTACAAGAAGCAGAATGAAGCGGTTGTTGTGACATCTGCCTTTAAGGCTGGCAGACTGTCAGCTGAGAGGAGCCTTGTGGTGACACTGCATTTTTGGTTCTCAGATTCTGAGTTCAGGCAGGATGGGAAGCGGAGCTGCACAGAGCAGGTACCGCTGGTCCCACTGCTCCTCAGGGAACTGTCAGCTGCTTTTAAAGGCCGGGCATTATCCCGTCTCACGTATGTGTGTGGATGGGAGGGAGAACTGAGGTACTGAGCTAGTAAACAAGCCAGATCCCCCCAGTCCCAGCCCTGCTCTAGTTTTTCAGCGTGTTTTAAAAGGACATTAAGGTAGGTAGCTAAAAGCTCAACAAGGAGGGTTTTTTTCTCTTCCCATACACTACGCTCAGATGCATGTTTTCAGCAGGGAGAGTTTTGTAATATCCAGTGAGATGTTGGAGCTGTACCTCGGCACAACCTTAATACTCCTTCTTGTCCAATAAGTCATTTTTTGAAGAGTTGTGTTCCCATCTCACTCTCCAACATGCTTGCTCTGAGGTCAGTGGACTGGGAGCCTGATGAGTGTCATGCACATGTAAACAGACAGCGTGGTTCAGCTGTGGCCTAAGCAAGTGCAAATTCCTTTACCTCCATAGAATTGTCTCTGTTTACATAAAAGAGGATAAAATATGGCTTTGTAGTCTTAAGTGGTGGCATTTTAAACAGCTGAGCTTAAGTAAAGGCTGTCGTGGCTTTGGTTTGTTCTTGATCTTACAAAATGTGTATCTAATCAAATAGTTCTACAACAATATGAAACATGCACTCTCCATAAAAAGTTCTACATGGCAGATTGTCTGTCTTGGTGATTTCCATTTAAATTTGAGTCCTAAATGCCTCAAGATGTATGAATCAGTAACTCACTAGCCACAGAGCTAGCAGAAGAGGTATGTTCAGTTACTTCAAGGTACTCAGGAGAATTTTCCGTGTGTTTATGTTCCCTGACTGTGACATTTGACACGTAGTTTTTCTTTCTTCTCTTATTCTTTTGCTTGGATTAAAAAAAATCAAAACAAACAAAAAAAATCACAAAAAACCCTCTGAACAAAATGGGATGAAAGCCCAGCTGGGATAGTTACAGGTGGAGGGATGTTAATTTTGAAATTCGTGTAAGTTTTAATAAATCAAAGTTTGTAGCAGAAAGGAGGATGCGCGTATTTTTGCCTATCTGAAGTAATGTAAAAAAACTAGCTCTTTACTTTAAACCTTCTGAATCAGTGAAGGTTATTTCAAAATTCAAAACCTTTTTCTTTTGTTGTATAGGAATCTCAAACTGAGCTGTAATACTCAGTGCACACATATCTTCAAAGAAGTAAAATGTTTTTAAGAAAAATGGAATAGGTCAAAAAGTGCTGTTGGGTCTTTGTAGCGCGGAGACAGCAAACAGCGGTGCTCGCTTTATTCCCAGGCGCTTGGAAACACAACTGTGTTGGAAGTCCCATCCTACTGGGACATTCAAAACACTCATTCATCTTTGACTCCAGTGAGGATTTCTGAACCCCTGACACATTCAGTTAACTTTGAACTTCAATTTGTAAATTTTAAAACACATAACTTGCTGGGAATCTCCCCAGGACACGCTGGGTGATTTTTGGCCTGGCGTAAGGAAGATCCGAGCTCTGCGTTGAAATAGGAGTATCATTGTTTTCCTGAAACTACTTCCCAGCAGCAGACTGTGCTGGCAGCAAGATCAGTCATTACCTTGAATAAAATATTCAATAAGCACAATATCCTGATGGGGTTATGTTACTGCGTTTGATTCAACTCTTTTGCTAGAAGGCTTGACAAAGGATGGATTATTTCCCAGGTATAAAGTTGTTTATAAGCTACGATAAAGAAAAATGAAATAGTGGTTTTGGTTTATTCCTTGCTTCACTTGGAAGTGAATAACCAGAAGAGAGTCTGTCTAAAGGGAAGACTTTTTAACACTTTGCAGGCCACTTTGTCACATGGGTCCCTGTTAGTGCAGGCTTTGGGATGCAGCTGGAGCCGGGACCCTCCTGCCCAGAGGGAGCAGTCAGTCCTGCCCGGCTGCCAGCTTGGGTGTGCTCCTTGAGCCAGCCTGGCTGCAGGCACTTGTCAGGAGACGAGGCTTTGAGCAATCTATCTTTTATAATTAGCTAGGTCTGGTTTGCAGAATGTTCCTGATGCTCGTCTCTTACAGATGCATCCTGGCAAATCTGGCTGGTGGTTTCCACGTGGGAGTGCTCCGGCCCTGCTGGCAGAGCACACACACTCTGTGCAAAGCCTGGCACCTTGGCTGGAACTGCTGATGAGAATAGAATCATAGAATGGTTGGAGTTGGAAGGGACCTTAAAAATCATCCAGTTGGCAGGGACACCTCCCACCAGACCAGGTTGCTCCAAGCCCCATCCAGCCTGGCCTTGAACCCCTCCAGGGATGGGGCAGCCACAGCTTCTCTGGGCAACCTCTTCCAGGGTCTCACCACCCTCACAGCAAAGAATTTCTTTCTGGTATCTCATCTAAATCTCCCCTCTTTCAATTTAAAACTATTACCTCTCGTCCTATCACTACATTCCCTGATGAAGAGTCCCTCTCCAGCTCTCCTGTAGCCCCTTCAGATACTGGAAGTAGCTTGGGGATAAGGCGCCGGACTGTGAACTGGAGAGGCCAGGGCCACCCCACATTCCTTTCTGCTGAGCCTGCTCTGGCTGGTAACCTCTGGCAGGACCAGGGCAGGCAACTGGGGCAGCACCATCAGAAACCAATGCAGCCAGAGTCTGTCTGGCAGAGCCCTGAGCAACTGGTTTGTCCTCAGCCTCCAAGTGAAAGCGGTGGTGCTGACCCACGCAGAGGTGGGGCAAGGGGAAAGCGGTGGAGGAACTGCGTCGCTACTCATTTTAAAATGCTCTGAGGCATCCAAAATGTGGTTTTGGCCTGAAGAGCAGCACAGTCCTGCTGCAGAGCCCATGAGAGTGAACAGGCACTTCACGGGTCACAGGTTTCAGTGCAAACTTGCATGCTTTGCTCCCGGTATGGGCTAAAGTGGAACTGCTCTTTCTGCAGAAGTGCTTGCTCCCATGGTAGACTGGGATTACCAGTGAAACATCTTATCTGATGAGATCCTATGAAAATCCACTCCTTAGCAAAACTTGGGTGTCCCTGCAAGCTGCTCATTGTTTCAAGATGATTCCGTGAAGATGTCATTCCTTTGTGCAGGGAGAGGAAGTGGTGGAAGGGAAGGAGTCAGCATAGATTGGAGTTGATGGTGGGGTTCCCAGGATGGCTGTGGATGATCCGGACGGGGCTGGGAGCGGTGGGACGCGATGCCCAGCACTGACTCCCTGCCAGGGCCTCCCTCTGACTGGTTTTACCCGCTCCGTGTTTGCTGCTTGTGCTGCTTTGAACGATGCAGAGGGCCTTTCTGACTGCCATACCTAATCTCTTTTGCCTTGTCCTTTCTAAACAAGTCCTATCCTTGTCAGCCACCCTTCCTGCTTCCAGCCCTTCCCCTTGCGGTCTGACTGCAACCTTTGTTCTGTGCAGACCCCAGTCTGGGTTCATTTCCAGTGTCTTCTCTGACCTGCCTCCTTGATGTTAGCTAGTTTATCCACCACCTGATCTTTTCCCTAGTCTCTGTTCCAACCCGTATCACACAGTGCTTTCCTACTCCCTTCTCTGACTTGATCCACCCTCCCACCATCCTTTCCAAATCCACTTCTTCTGAGAGCTCTACAGCCTTCATCCTCCCCCTTTCACTAGCAGCCCCTGAAGCTGGCAGGGTTCAGTTGCTCTTGCTCGGCTTTCTGGGGGTGCTCTTCTCCACTCGGAGAGTATTTAAGATCCATAGAAAGCTTGCAGAGCTTGGATTTGGCCTCCTGCACCCTTAGCAATACCACTGGGTAGAAAAAGACTTGCGGCATTTGGGTGTGTTCACAGAGCAGCAGCAGGATGTTCCCGGGTGTTTGTGCCATGTGTGATGTCTGGGTGCCAGGGAGGGTGCCAGTTACTCCCCTCTCTCTAGTGGCCAAGCTGGCACCTTCCTATCCCCAGCCCTGCCTGGAGAATCAGTCCCTGGGGAGCTTTATTCCTAGGAAAAAGGAAAGGATCTGGCTGTGCTGATATAATTTGCCACTCCTTTAAAACCTACAAAGGTGACTGGGTGAATGATAAGCTCATGTATTTATCTCTTGTTTCCACAGGGTTCAGGTGTGATTAAAGCAGGTTTTGCAGGCGATCAAATACCGAAATACTGCTTTCCAAACTAGTAAGTATTCTGCTGGTCTTGGTAAGTTCTTATCACCGTGTACCAATTCTTTGAGATGTAGAGGGGAAGAATGGTCCGATTTTTGGAACTGGAGAAATGAGTTATTCTTTTTGAGCCTGCTGCACGGAAGCATCAGGGAGAAGGGATCTCTGCTATTAAGCACTTTGAGATTTTCTGGGGGATGCACCATAAGAGATTGCGTTGCTTCGTCAGGCTCAACACTTGACCAGAGCTGTTGGATCCTTTAGTCTTGAGACAATACGAAAAAAGAACAGGGAAAGAGATAAAATGGGGATGAGAGGTGTGAAGACCTCTATATTTTTTTTTTGTTAGTGGTCTGATGTTTTGATTCCCGCCAGACTTCCTTGGAATTCTTCTGAGATTTTTACTGGAAGAAGGATTGCTGGATCAGGAACTCTGAATAGTCCCTGGCTTTTATTTTCAATTGGGTGGGTTTTTAATGAGTGTATTTGTGTTCTGAGCAATGTGCTCTGTATGGTGAGGTGAGGTACAGGACTGTATATGTCTAATCTGAGAAGCCTGCCCGAGCTCAGGCAACACCATGTGGACCTGTCAGCTCAGTCTAGCCATCTTCTCCTCAGGCACTGTTGGAACAAATGAGTCCTGAATCATCAGGGAAAGCGTGGCCAGGCTCAGGTGGCTTGTGTCCTGCCAATTCAGGACAGTCTACAATCTGTTCCCTTCATCTCTTGATTAGCTCAGGGCAAACCTGGGTCTGTCCGCACCTGGTAGTGTCCCCAGACTCACCCATTGCTTTAGAAAGTACTGGTTAGGACAGAGAGAAACACAAAGTAGTTAATCTTTGGGTGCTTCTGGGCTCTGGACACTCTGGGTGCTCTGGAAACATTTATACTCTTCTTTCTGTTCTAGTGTGGGCAGACCAAAGCATGTTCGTGTTATGGCTGGTGCTTTAGAAGGGGACATTTTCATTGGTCCAAAGGCAGAGGTAAGAAACCCTGTATCCTGCACTTCTCCATAGGCTGCTGTGAGGGGGGACTGGAGCAGTTGTGCTTAAAGGGCTGGGGTTCCTTGGTATCAGTGTATAGATCTGAAGAGCAGAACAGATTGTCACTTTTAAGTGTGTCCAAGGTGGAGTGGGGAAGCTTCCTGAAATTCTTGTGCCAACCTGCTGACCACAGACCATTTTCCTAAGTCTTTTTTTTATTGTTTCCTATGCTACTTCTAGGTCTGTATGGTCACATCCCCATCTTTTTGACTGGGATCTTTAGAAATGCACCCTACTGGGTTGCCTTTTATCTCCTTGGTGTGGGTGGGAAGCTTGTTTTCCACAATCCTGCTTTGGTCAGCGTGTAGCTGTATGGTCTCACATTTCTCGTGAGCCCTCCTCCAAACTACATTCCCCAGTACCACCCTGTTGTGTGTCATATCATGACTGAGCTGGTGGAACAAAGATCCCATTTGATAGGTGTCTGCTTGCAAAGTGTTAGGGTGGAATGTGCTCTGCAAATGCCACATTTTTCCTACTTGGTATAAAGAGGCCTTGTTTAATCTCGTGGATACTTCCCTGCGAGAGATGATGTTTGTGATTAATGTTCAGTTTTTTCCCTATATGCTAGAGATAAGTTGTCTTCTGGTGGAATCAAAAAGTGTGTTGGACATTAAGTCACAGAATCACAGAATCTTCTAGGTTGGAAGGGACCTTACAGATCATCTTGTCCAACCATCAACCTCATTTTGACAAAAATAAACACCCACACAACAAACAAAAAGCACCACCATCACTAAACCATACCTCCCAGCACTACATCAACCCGTCTTTTGAACACCTCCAGGGATGGTGCCTCAACCACCTCCCTGGGCAGCCCATTCCAATGGCTGAGAACCCTTTCGGTGAAAAAATATTTCCTAATATCCAGCCTGAACCTACGACCAAGTCGTAGTCACGATGCTCAGAAATGGGATTGTTTGGGTCTGACAGCTATGCTCTGTTGTCCCTTCTGTTTGCTCAGGAGCACAGAGGTCTCCTCTCGATCCGATACCCGATGGAGCATGGCATAGTGAAGGACTGGAACGACATGGAGCGCATTTGGCAGTATGTGTATTCAAAAGACCAGCTTCAGACATTCTCAGAGGAGGTGAGATACCTCGGGATGGGATGGCACAGGCCTCGGTCAGTGTGTGTAAACACCAGGAGCCTTGAAACTCCAGGAAAGATTTGGGATGTCCCCTCTGCTTTTCTTTCTAAATGTGTCTGTTGTTAAATTAGGCTCTTACAGCCCTCAGGAGATACTAGACAAGAAGTGTCCAAGCAGAATTCCTCCACAGATCTAATGTTCTGGCCTGAATTTTCAGTTCTGGAAATCTGACTTTCAGATTGTTATTCACACTCTCTCTGATGATTCTGCTCTAGGGCAAGTACTCCTAACTTTTCCTGTTCTGCCTGCACACCAGGCTTATCCACTCAGTGGAGACATGATTTGAAGTGAGGAAGGAGAAAACCACAATCCTGTGGTCTGGAAAGAGCTGACCAAAAAAAATTATTAAATGACTTGTAAGCAATAGGTTGTGTAAGTGGAGTAGGAATATTTTGCTTGCTTGTGCTAAGACTGTATGCCTTCACTCTTTCTTCAGGGTCTGTGTATTTTGGCTAATCTGGCTGATTTTGGGCACTGGGAGTTGTCTTGTTCATCCTTCACAGGACAGGGTCACTCACAGAGTAGATTTCCTAACAATTCTTCATAACTAGACCAGAACCCTGCCGGTCTTCCAAATTAGTAGAGGTTATTCACAGTCTAATGCAGCTCAGTAGCTGAAATTATTTCCTTCTACCTGTCCTCTTGTGCCACTGATTCCTAAAGTGAATATACAGCAGAAATTTTCAGGGACAGATGTCTATTATTATCCTGGCTATTGCACCACAGCTGCTTTTTTTCTTTACCAGCATCCTGTGCTGCTGACAGAAGCACCCCTAAACCCACGCAAGAACAGAGAGCGTGCTGCTGAGGTGTTCTTTGAGACCTTCAACGTGCCAGCGCTGTTCATCTCCATGCAAGCTGTGCTCAGCCTGTAAGTGTCTTCGGTCTTTGATTTGCTCTTGTGAAAAGTTGCCATGAAATGCTTTTTTTTTTTCTTTTTTTCACAAACAAAAAAACCTCTACTCATGAAAAACCACGCTGATGTCTGACTGTTATGGTTTGAGAAAACCCATAACAATTTATTGTCGTTCAGACAATTATTCTGTCACTCGATCACTCCTCCCCACCCAGAAAGGGGAATCGGGGAACACAAAGAAACATGAGGGTTCAAATATAAATAGATTTAATAGAATAACAGTAAATAATTAACAATAATACTAAAGAACCAGGATTAATCCCGATACTGATATACAAGACTTATACTCAGCCAATTCTGTCAGTAGGAAGCTGGAAGTGCACTTCCAGCAGGGACAGCAAATCACAGAATCACACAGAATCACAGTGGTTGGAAGGGACCTCTGAGATCATCGAGTCCAACCACACAGCAAAAAAACCCAACAAAAAAACCAATAAAACCACAAAAATGTGGGATCCTGCGAGCGCAACAGCTTCAGGAGGAAGGGAAGGGCTCAGGGGTCCGGCACCGGGGCAAGGAGTTCTCTGGACCCACCACCATCAAGGGAGAGAGAACTGCAAAGCAAACTTTTCTAATTTATATTGAATATGACGTTCATGGTATGAAATAATCCTGTTGGCAGCCTGGTTTAAATGCCCAGGCCTTGCTCCTCCTCATCCCTGCACCTGGCAAGGCTTGAAAACACTAAGACCTTGAATCCCACAGAGCCTGGCTGGCTGTAAAGTATATATTTCAATGAATTCAGACACTAGAATCTTCTAAAAGTGCAGTTTTTAGAAGAAAAATTAGTCCTGTGTCACTCAGCTCAGTGCACTGACTTATGGCCTTTCCAAGCAAAAACTGAAACTCGATTTTAATTTTTGTACTAAAGAGTTTACAGGAATTTGCCGAAATATGATGAGAATTAGGTTAGTGATGGGTTTTTTAGCCCCTTATTACGTGAAATCTCTGCTCCCTGTGTTGCGCTCGGGTGTGCTGCCTGCTTGGGGTGGCTTTGAATGATTTCTTCTGACTCGGTTGTTTTCCCCTCCGGTAGCTACGCGACGGGGAGGACCACAGGAGTGGTGCTGGACTCCGGGGACGGCGTTACCCACGCGGTGCCCATCTACGAGGGCTTTGCCATGCCCCACTCCATCATGCGCATTGACATCGCCGGCCGCGACGTCTCACGCTTCCTGCGGCTCTACCTCCGGAAGGAGGGCTACGACTTCCACACAACCTCCGAGTTTGAGATTGTCAAGACCATCAAGGAGGTGAGGCTCTGTCTGTTTCTGTGTTTATTCAGGAAGGGAATTCTGCCCAAGGGAAGTTGTGAAATCTATTGGGAAGTGCCAGCCTACCTAGCTCTGCACCTTGTTCCTTTATCTACCTGGGTGAGACCAGGGCCATGTAGATTATTAAAGGACTGGAGCGTCTCTCGTATGAGGAAAGGCTGAGAGAGCTGGGGCTGTTGAGCCATGAGAAGAGAAGATTGGGGAGGATCTTATCAATGTATACAAATGTCTGAAGGGAGGGTGCAAAGACAACAGAGCTGGGCTCATTTCGGTGATGTCCAGTGACAGGACAAGAGACAGGAACTGAAGCACAGGAAGTTCTGTCTGAACGTAAACTTTTTTACTGTGACCAAGCACTGGTACAGGTTGTCCAGAGAGTTATGGACTCTACATCCTTGGTGATATTCAGAAGCCATCTGGACATGGTCCTGGGCAACCTGTTCTAGGTGATGCTGCTTGAAGAAGGGGGATGGATAAGGTGACCTCCAAGAGGTCCCTTGCAACCTCAACCATCCTGTATTCTGGGAGACTTGTAGTCAAGGTCACATCTAATCCCTACTGAGGGGCTGTTAACATGGAGATGAAGACAGAATGTGTTTTGCATCTGTCTGTGCTGCAGTTTCCCAGGGTCTGATGATACCTTTCACTAGTGTTTGTTTACCCTTCGGGGCAAGGGGCTGTAAAACCCATGGCGGGTGGGGATCACAAGTGGGATATTACAAGTTATTTTTTTTCCCCACTCCCCTCTGTGAAAGAATTCACTCACAGCATTTCCACTTAGAAAAGATTCCCCTTTCTGTAAGGTCTGCAATGTTTACTGACCTCAGAGCTATGCTGCGGTTTGAAAAGGCAGATTGAGATCCCTAGCAAAGCAGTTACCTTGGCTTGTGTTGTGTGCCAGGAGAGGGGGACAGAGGTGGGACAGCTCAGAGCTCACATCAGCTTTGGAGCATCGCTGTGCTCACCCAGACAGGTTGTTCCCTGATTTCAGCCAGGCTGTGTGTGACTCGGGGCTGCCTACGCATCCGTTCCTTCAGTATTGGGGGTCACTACTGGCTGTGACTTCTGTGCGCTGATGCCTGGCAGTTGCTGCCATTCCATGGGCCCCTATCACAAGCTGTGGTTGCCACTGATAACTCTGGGCTGTCAGAAGCCTGTGCCAGGGCTTGAGAGAGTTAATGAACTATTCTTGAGCCTGTAACCTACTGGCAAAGGATAAGAATGGAAATAGTTTGCTTGTTGTGTGTGGCTGTGCCCAGGGAACAGCACTTGGGCTCCATCTCACAGTACAGCTGAATGGCTTTTGCCTGTTACCCAGAGCAGGAGACTTCATAGAGTTGTAGGTTTTAACCCAGTAGCTGCTTTCTGTTCTACAAGTGTTGATTGTTGAATGGTAGAGAAAAAAAAACCTGATGTGTGCAGATACCAGAGCAGCTGTGGACCAGAAGGTCTGGTGTCGGGAGGTGCGCTGGACAACGCTGTGCTTCAGAGCAGCCTGGTTTGTACCAAGCAGCGGTTGCAGTGCAATTGTGATGACCTTAAGGGATAAAGCAAGAGGCTTGTACTCTTCAGAAATACACTTGTGCTCTTCATAAATGGCCAAGGCGCCCTTTGCATCTTGGGTGATGAAACTATGCAAAGGCATTGTGCTGACTGGTAAGTGCAAAGTCTTGCACCAGTGCAATCACTTCTCTGGACTATACACTTAGGGAAACAAAGAGCAGGGGAAAGTGAGCCAGGTCCTGCTTTGCATACTGCCTGCCCTCACCAGCAGGGCGTCAGAGAGAGGAAACAACCTCACGTTTGCTCTTCAACCTACACCTTTTGATTGACTTTAAGATTAATTTTAGCTGGGGAAAGTTGCACATTTCTAGGATGTATGTACCTGGACCTTGCAATGAGATTTGTTCATGTTGGTGCCATTTGTGACTTGATTTGCGTATCTGAGAGGTTGAGTGTGGCTTCTTGTGTTCTCAGCTTTCTTGCCTTGGGAGAAGTTTGGATGTGCAGCCTGAATGCACCGTAGCAAGCACAAAGCTGAGATTCTGGATGTGGAAGTTTCTCAGTCCCAAAAGATGCCTGGGATCTGTTGGAGTCTGTGTGACTTAGAGAGATCGATTTTTTTTTTTTTAAAGGGGGAAAAAAAGTAGGAAAGAAATTTGGGGATGCTGAAAAGTCTAAAGGAGGAATTATCTTAAAAGGGGAACCCTTGTAACTGCTTCAGTGCAAACAATTGTTCTCTTTCTCTTGGCTCACTGTGAGGGTGGTCAAACACTGCAGCAGGTTGTGCCCAGAGAGGTTTGTAGATTCTCTGTCTGTGGAGGTTCTCCAAGAGTGACTGGAAGTGGGTTTGGGCAGCCTGCTCTAGCTGACCCTGCCTGAGCAAGGGGGTTAGACTAGATGATCTCAGGAGGCCCCTTTCAACCTAAATGTTTCACTGCTTCTGTTTAGAGACTTTTTTTAGAATCACAGAATGGTCAGAGTTGGAAAGGACCTTAAATATCATCCAGTCCCAACCCCCTGCCCTGGGCAGGGACACCTCCCACCAGACCAGGTTGCTCCAAGCCCCATCCAGCCTGGCCTTGAACCCCTCCAGGGATGGGGCAGCCACAGCTTCTCTGGGCAACCTGGGCCAGGGTCTCACCACCCTCACAGCAAAGAATTTCTTTCTGGTATCTAATCTAAATCTCCCCTCTTTCAATTTAAAATCATTACCCCTTGTCCTATGGCTCCACTCCCTGATCAGGAGTCCCTCCCCATCTCTCCTGTAAGCACCCAAATGGTAACAATTTGCAATAGCAAAGCTTACTGTGGAATAAAAAATACAAGGTGTTGGAGCAGTTTGAAAAGTCAAAGTATTTGATTTCCTGTAACTTAAATAGAGGTGGGCAATGAGAAGTGAGCTTAGATCATGTGAAGTAATTTTTGCTGTTAGCTATTAGTTATTAGTTATTGTTTACCCTGTTGAAATGCAATAATGGACTTTGTTCACGCTCCTGTTGCAAAGTTACCTGAGCACACCTTTATACAAAGTTAATGTCACTAAAGGTATTCCAGGTGTATGTTTTACTTTGCCCTGCAGTGGGTTGGAAGCACTCACTGTTACCCCATCTGTGCTAGAGAGGGGTAACTTCTAAGAAGTAGGAGAGCTGGAAGCAAGAGCTGAGCACCAGTGAGAAGTGGGGTAAGCATCCTGGATGTCTCTAGTCATCACATGGAGCTGTAGCATGAGTGGGTATTTTACCTGATGTGAACCTTAAAGGTCTTTTCCCCCGCGCAAAATATTGTTGAAATTGGTGTCCCAAAGGGATACATGGACTTCTGTTGTTAGAAAAGTGTTTAATCAGAGGCATTTGGGTTTACTCTTCTCACCTCCCTCTCCCCGACTCTCTCCCCTGCAGCGTGCCTGCTACCTGTCAATAAACCCCCAGAAGGATGAGACTCTGGAGACTGAGAAGGCTCAGTACTACCTGCCAGATGGAAGCACTATTGAGGTTTGTAAGGACCCCTGGGAGGATTCCTGACATGAAGCACAGGGTTTCCAGAATAGCCTTCTGCCTAGTGATGGGAAATGTAATGCAGTGTTAGGTGGGAGGGGATAATTTTAAAAGACCGGAACTCATCCCAGGCTGTTGACTGGGCACTAGAATTTTTAGGGGAAGGAAACATTATATAAACCTCACAAGTTGTACTGGAAGTCCTGGGTGAGGATACAGCATGACTCTGAGCTGTTTGAGTGCAGGCTCTGATCTAGCAAACTTTTATGTAGATGAGGTAGTGTGGGTAGATATCAGGTCACTGTAAATGGTTTTGTGGTTTTGTGTGTGGCTTTTGTCCTGCCTAGAGGTGCAGAGGTGCAGAGGTGCAGAAACAGTTGCTTTGAAGAGTGAGTTAGGAATAATCCTCAAAAGACTGAGCCTACTAAAGAATGGTTGGAGGAGAGGAAATACAGGTCTTACCTCCAGCACCAGGGGTGGATCTGCTCCTTTTTCTGCCAGTATGGGGCTGAGAAAGTTTCTTCATCTTTTGCATCTGCAAAATGGAAATAGCTTCTTTTCTAGAAGCAGTAGACTAACAGAAAACTCTGCTACTCTCAAGTTTCACCTAGGAAAGGGCAGGCCCAACCCGTAGGCAGTGAACAGAGCCACACTGCTCTTTTTTCTCCTCTGTCATCCCTTGCAGATCGGCCCTGCCCGTTTCCGAGCCCCAGAGCTCCTGTTCCGGCCAGACCTGATAGGGGAGGAATGTGAAGGACTCCACGAGGTGCTCGTTTTTGCCATTCAAAAATCAGACATGGACCTGAGGCGAACACTGTTCTCCAACATCGTGCTGTCTGGAGGCTCCACGCTTTTCAAAGGTTCCTGCTTCTCCTCTTTCTGTGGGGCTGTGACATACCTGATCTCTTCCTTCCTTTGCATGTGAAACTGGGAAGATAACCTCCATCACCCAACTTGTCCTGTGAGATGAGGGCTGTGGGAACTCTGCTGTCTCCAGGAGGGTTACTGTCTAATTTCTTGAGTCCTACTCGTACCCTTCTGGGCATGCAAGACACCTCTGCCTCTCTCTTCCTGGGCTTGGGGAGGCTTTTAACTTTTTCCTCCTATCTCTCTGCCTGTGTCAGGACTGAAGAGTTGTGTTTGTTTCTGCTGCTCTATTCAGGGTAGTTGAGACTGGATACTGCAAAGGCTCTTGCATCTCCTGAGGTTCTTCAGGTCTTTGGTACCTGAGAGAGTCCCAACAGTCCTGGTACTGCATGGAAGGTCATGCAGTATGTGCAGAAAACTTCCTACCTGTCCCCTCAGGGCTCAGCTGCCCCTCCTCAGCTTAAAGATCTCCTCTGTCCACATGTGGACACCTCCAGATAAGTCCTGGTCTTCCCAGTCAAACACTGTTCCCTTCTACAAATGGGCTGGACACAGGAGGGGTGTCCAGGGAAGGAGGAGGGAACTGGCCCATCTGTGTTCTGAACTGAAAATCTTGTTTGCTCATCTCAAGCTGCTGCCAAGGGACAGAGCCCGTTGTGCCAGTGTTTGAGGACTGGCTGAGGGAGGCACAATGCTGTTGTCTCCTGGCTGTGCCTCTCCACACGGGTCTCTCTGTGAGACCTGAAGTGGGATCTTTGACTAGTACTGAACAGGACATGTCCACACTGTTAGTAGATGGAATTTGGGATTTGTTGAAGGGCTCAGACTACATGTTTTCTGTCTTGTTTAGGCTTTGGTGACAGGCTGTTGAGCGAAGTGAAGAAACTAGCTCCGAAGGACGTCAAAATAAGGGTAAGGAGCAGTCTCTTTTGTATTTATTACTTCCTACATGTGCTGTTCTGTGGCCTTTAAAGAACCACGCGGAGAGTGGAGCTGCCAGTTGCTTCAGGAAACAGCTTTCCTGAGACAGCCCAACAGTGTTTGCTGTGGTGATGAAAACCTGTCTGCTTTCACCACAGAGAAGGTGGCTCCTATGACAACAGGACTCCTGTCCAGGATCCTGGACCACTGTGGCTGTTTTTAAGAAGTGGTGGGCAGGGGGGTGTTGCTGGGTGTCTTTGGAGTGGGAGAGCTCATACCTGTGTTTGTTGGCCGTCATGAAATGGGGCGGTGTGGCAGAAGGAGCAGGCTGGAGCTTCGGGAGGTCATGACTGATTCTTGTCTTTTTTTTCCAGATATCAGCTCCTCAGGAGAGATTGTATTCCACGTGGATCGGGTACGTGCTGCACAGGGACACCTCTTGTGGTGGGATAGGATCATAGAATGGTCAGAGTTGGAAGGGACCTTAAAGATCATTGAGTCCCAACCCCCTGCCCTGGGCAGGGACACCTCCCACCAGACCAGGTTGCTCCAAGCCCCCTCCAGCCTGGCCTTGAACCCCTCCAGGGATGGGGCAGCCACAGCTTCGCTGCGCAACCCGCGCCAGTGTCTCACAACCCTCACAGCAAAGAATTTCTTCCTAGTATTTAATCTAAATCTCCCCTCTTTCAATTTAAAACCATTACCCCTCATCCTATGGCTCCACTCCCTGACCAAGAGTCCCTCCCCATCTCTCCTGTAGCCCCTTCAGGTACTGGAAGGCCGTTATAAGGTCTCCCTGGAGCCTTCTCTTCTCCAGGCTGAACCCCCCCAGCTCTCTCAGCCTGTCTTCACAGCAGAGGGGCTCCAGCCCTCTGAGCATTTTCATGGCCCTCCGTGTGGATGAGTGCTGGGCAGGCACAGCGCTTGCAATGTTGTCCCTTGTGGTGCTGTGTGTCGGGAGGGTCTCATGGTGGTCACAGAGCCTGGCTCTGTCTGTGCTGCCAGCCCCTCAGCCTTTTCTGTCCCTAAGACTCCTGCAGGACCTGTTGATTTTCCTGCTTTTACCATCTTAACATCCAGTCCAAGGTAGAACAAGCTCCTATGTCCCACCTTTCTGGGGGCGGAGGCTCTCGGTTCATTCTCCCTCTTGTATGTCTTTGCTGCAGATTGGGAGAACTAAACTCGATGTTAAAAGTGAGAGCAGACCCCATGTGAGGAGAGCTGGGGTTTGGGGGTGCTGTGGGAGGGGGCGGCGGGTGCCAGGCTCTGTAGAGCCACCACGTTTGAGGCTGCAGGAGGGGAAGTGACTGTCCAGAGAGCGCTTCTGTTCAAGATAACTGGGAGCCTCATCACCTTCCTGACACGGGGAAGCGTCACGCGATAGAAACAGCTCATCTCTGCAGAGATCCCGTGAGCGTGCCCCAAAATGTCCCTTTAACCCCTAACACGCCTGTCTCTCCCCAGCGGCTCCATCCTGGCCTCACTGGACACCTTTAAGAAAATGTGGGTTTCGAAAAAGGAATACGAAGAAGACGGAGCTCGTGCCATCCAGCGAAAAAGCTTCTAGCCCTGGGACCCGTCCTCAGTCTCCTGCGAAGACTCACTTCAGTTCTAAACTCGCTTTTCTGAGTCCGAGTGTCTGAGAGCTGCCTGTGTGTGTGTGTGTGCGCCAGCATGCCCCGATGTCACTGAGCAAAGGCGACAGCAGCAGGAGGGTTCTATTAGTACTACTAACTTCTTTTTTTTTTATTATTATTTTATTTTTTGTTGGGTTTTTTTTTTTTTTTTTAAAAACGGAGAAAACACCAGTCTGAATTTCTCCGGACCGGCCCATTCCTTTTTCATTTCAGTCCCTTAATTTCTGTATCGCCATCACATTTGTCACTGTAAAACAAACGAGCGAGCAAAAAAAAAAAACAAAAAAAAAAGAAAGAAAAGGGAACAGCTTCTCAAGAGACCGCCCGGCGAGCCCCAAGGGAACCAACCACTGCAGGCTGCTCACCCAGGCCTCCCCCAGCCCCACGGCCAGGCCTGGACTGTCTGGAAACACACCTAGCTTTCTTCTTTCAGCGGTGTTCTTTCACCATCAGTAGGGGTTTTTTTTCAAGTTGTTTTTAATATATTTTTTATTAAGAGAGAAAGCACATTCTCAACAGTTCAGCCCCTTTCCCCCTCTTCCCCCCCCCAACCACTGGTTTTTGGTGTGAGTGCGTGTATGCCTGTGCGACTTCTTAGTGTGGGGCTGCCCCCCTCCCTCGCCCCCCCCGCAGCTGGAGAAGTTGGTGATAGGACTTAGTTTGTATTTGCATGGAGTAGAACAAAGCAAAAATCTAATCAGCTACCATTGTACTAGACGGTTATTCTCTCCTACCTTGTTTTAAATATACCTTTTTCTCCTCTGGAAGCCAAGTGCCCCGGAATGGGGGTGAAGGCACTTGTGTGTGTCCCCCCCCCTGCCCCGCACCCTGCCAAGATTCACAGTGCTGCATTCTCATGTCTTTTCTCTGTCGGAGTCGAGGCTGTTTCCCCCCACCCCTTTCCTGCCACGCCAGGGCAAAGGGAGCATGTATTTACAGCCAGGCATAACTCTTGTGTACTTTATCCATTCTGGGGCAAAAATTATAATAATTGGAAAGGTGCGTTGTAATGTAAGAATTGTTTTATTTATTGAAATGTCTGAGGATATCTCAAAATACTGACCACAGCACCTGGGAATTACGCTTTGGGTCTTCTTTGAACACCTCCCCACCCGGTTGGGTGTGTTTGCAGCCCTCACCCCAGCGGCTCCGCGGGGCGGGTGGCTGTTTTTTGGGAATACACTACACAGGAGGACGATAGCCCGTGGCGGGACGTCGGTGTGAGCGGGAGGCTGTCCCCGTGGCTGTGTTCAGCACGTGCCTTTCTGCTCACCCGCCGGCTGCGTCGCCTCTGCTCTCACGGCCAGGGCTCGGGGTGCGCCACTGCTTCTCCTCTGGGTTAGTCTTTCCTGCTAATCGGTGCTCTTATATTATTATTATTTTTTTTAATTTTATCCCCATGGTCAATTTTCTGCAGTAGCCGTGGAGCTGGAGTTGCTCGGTGGCAGTTCCTCCCTGTTCCCCCCCCTCCTTTCTGTTCGTTGCCCACCCATCACCTCGGGGTCACTCTCAAAGCACGGAACGGGGGGGTGAGAGGCAAAGGGGCTGCCACAGAGACAAGGAGGGGGGCAAACACTGGGGTATAGCCCCCACTGACCTGAATGTAAGCAGCAGCCTGTTGCCCTGCTGGAACCAGGTCCTGGGGAGAGGCTGTGGGCAGGAGCTGTGGTCTCCTCCCAGTTGAGGCCAGGCTCAGCTCTGGGAGCAGACTGGTTTTTAAGCAAGAACCCGTCAGCTAGAAACGAGCCGTCAATGCTCAGCCTTGTTCTGCTGAAAAAAATAATCAGTTTTCTTCTTGCTGGTTTGCTGCAGAGGGGCAGAAGGAAAATCCCTCTGGGTTTGGTTATTACACGCCTCCCCCAGGTAGTGCCCCCCCATCTCTTCCCCACCCTCCCAGCCCCAGAAGCAGCAAGTGCTCCATTTTGTCACCTGCAGTGACCGGACAGAAAGGTGCCGTCTCCAATCTTAGCATTTGTTTGCTCTGCCTGACTGTTCCCTCGCACACTGTCCAAACCATGTTGCCTGGTGGTGCCCAGCATACTTCAATAAAGTCATTCATATACAACCCTCAAGGCTCCCAGCCTCATCTTCCCATATTTTAAGGTCACTTGGGTTCTTCTCTTGCCCGGGCAGAATTGTTGTTGGTCAATCTCTGCAGAGAGACACCATCTCTGGTCCAGGGTTCCCTTCCTGATCTGCCTTTTGAACCCAGGGTTGCAGCCGTGGGTCTGCACTGGGGGTGTCCAAAGCTCCTCTCTTCTCCTCACCAACCGTTGTGTGTTCTGTGTCTCCCCAGGGAAGGGTGAGGGCAGCCGAGGCGCAGAGGAGCCGAGCGAGGGCTGGTGCAGACAGCGAGGACAGCCCTGGCTGAGCGACAGGAGCCGGTGCCAGCCCCGGCGCTCGCTGAGGACACGGTGAGCTTCACTGCCCGGGCAGGCCTGGGAAGGTGGCACAGTGCCCAGCAACGTCCCCAGCCTTGTCCCCAGAAGGTGAAGGAACGGGATGGTCTCATCCCTGAGGCCTTCCAAAGCAGCAGCCTCCCCCCAGCCCTCCCCCAATCCTCTCTGACCCCCCCGCCAGAAACAGGCCAGGTCCCAGCAGAGTTTTGCTGGAGGAACATCCCCCTTTTCTCCCATCCAACCCCAGCTGTGCCCCTGTGGCACTGCAGGAACCCAGCCAGGCTAGAAAAATCACCCAGTGGTACAGAAAAGATCATCTTTAATTTATGAAATGAAGAATCATTCTCAAACTTTTGTTAGAAGTCGCACAAATAACTTAATGATTGAACCATCAAAGAGCTACAGGAGCCTCGTGGCAGGAATGCCTTGGTCCGAGAGAGAAGGCAGCCGTGTCCTGAGGCAGGAGGGCAGGTTTGTGGGCTGAGACCCCCGAGGGAACCTGGCACTAAATAAAGAATGGCCCCCAAAGCCCGGAGCAGCCTTCAAACACTGCCTGCACCCCCTGCTCCTGCTGGGACACACAGGGCAGAGCTCTGCTTTGGCACATCTCTTCTCCCTGTCCCCAAACAGGGACCGAGGAGACCCTCCCTCACTGCAGGGACCCCTCTGGTGACGACCTGCCCGCTCTGCTCCCAGCTGGAACCAGAGAAACCAATCCCCCTGCTCTCCTCCTCGGGCCAGTTGATGCTGGGGGTTGGAACAAGATGATCTTTAAGGTCCCTTCCAACCCAAACCATTCTATGATCAAGCTCTGGGGCAGCGTTTTCAGGGGAGAGGACACAAGGTGTCTGTCTCTCCCCCCCAGAGGTAAAATCTCAACCCCGTGACTGCCCAGCATTGGGTCAGACAGGCTCCTCGGAGGAATCGAAGGCACAAAAGCAAGACCTGGTGTCTCCTCCAGGCTGTGCTCTCCCCCTGCGAGAGGGAAAGGCGCCAGGCTGCGGGAGGGGGCTCCTGGCACAGCGGTGTGACAGTGACAGCGCTGAGGGGAAGGGGCTGCAGGAGGGAGAGGAGGGAGAAACACAGGCAACGGGATGCCAGCTGAGATGTTCCAGCTCCAGGCTGAGCCCAGTTCAAGCCCAGCAGCTCTCCCAGCCCAGCAACAACTCCCTCTCTGAGGCAGCCTCGGCACAGCACCAGCCCAGCCAGCAGCCCCTGGCCGTGTGGGACATCGTCCTGGGAACAAGAAATGCCCAAGAGCAGATTTGGTCCAAGAACCGCAGCGCTGTACGTGGTTGTACCAGCTACTGGGAAAGGCCTTCAGGATCCTCCCATCCCCGCTCCTGCTGTCCTGAAGTCACCCTCTGGGTCACTGGGTCGCTCAGGAACCTCCCACTCCACTCCCCACTGCTGCAGGGCTCTGGCAAGGAAGGTGTCCCTTTGCATCCCCTCCTGCTCAGCCGGGGCCACAACCAGGGCAGAGGACTGCACTGGAGATGTGGCTGTCCCCAGCACTGTCACCTCCCTGCTGGCACAGGCTAGGACAAAGCCTTCTGGCTCCTGTGGCCAAACGATCTTACCCCAGGCCCCTCACACGCTGAACTTCTCTGCCTTCCCCAGCCACCTCCTCCCGGAAGGAGTAACCATCACCGTTACAGCATTTCACAGTGGAACTGTAAACACGGGGGTTTCTCAGCCGCCGCCACCCTGGAGCCAGCAAGGAACCCCCCCCCGGGTGGGGGCTCAGACACCCCTAGATGGTTTTGATCTCTGGGGCTCGGCCTTGCGTCAGGCTTTGGCGCTGAGCCTTCACCATCTGCAGCCGTTTCCCGTGCAGGCTGAACTGGGACCAGCTGAGGAGCTGCAGCAGCGCGCAGGCGATGGGCACGAACACCAGGAGGTAAAAGCAGCCCTGGCGAAGAGTCGGCTCCAAGGCTGCGGCGGAGTCCAGCTTGGGCTGGGCACTCACCACGTTGCTCAAGGGGTTGCGCTGGAAGATGTCGTAGCCTGGGGTCAGAGAAGAGTTTGTGAGACCAGGGACAGTGGGGATGGACCCTCATCCATCCTCCCCAAGTGACTGGCCTTGGAGATACAGAGACCAGGCATGAGGGCATCAAGGAAACCCTCAGTAAGCTCACAGACAACACCAAGTAGGGTGGGAGTGTTGATCTGCTGGAGGGTAGAAAGGCTTTGCAGAGGGATCTGGACAGACTGGATTGATGGGCTGAGGCCAATGGGATGAGGTTGAACAAGGCCAAGTGCCGGGTCCTGCCCTGGGGTCACACCAATCCCCTGCAGCGCTCCAGGCTGGGGGCAGAGTGGCTGGAGCTGCCTGGCAGAAAAGGACCTGGGGGTGTTGGTCGCCTGTCGGCCGAACAGGAGCCAGCAGTGTGCCCAGGTGGCCAAGAAGGCCACCAGCATCCTGGCCTGTGTCAGGAACAGCGTGGGGAGGAGGACTCAGGAGGTGATGGTCCCCCTGTCCTGGGCACTGGTGAGGGCCCACCTCGAGGGCTGGGTCCAGTTTTGGGACCCTCCCCACAAAAAAAAAAGACACTGAGGGGCTGGAGTGGGTCCAGAGAAGGGCAACGGAGCTGGGGAGGGGTCTGGAGAAGAAGTCTGATGAGGAGAGGCTGAGGGAGCTGGGGGGGGTTCAGCCTGGAGAGAAGGAGGCTGAGGGGAGACCTTCTGGCTCTCTCCAACTCCCTGAAAGGAGGGTGTAGCCAGGGGGGTCGGTCTCTGCTCCCAAGTCACAGGCCATGGGACAAGAGGAAACGGCCTCAAGTTGCACCAGGGGAGGTTCAGATTGGAGACTGGGAACAATTTTTCCATGGAAAGGGTTCTTAAGCCTTGGAATGGGCTGCCCAGGGAAGGGGTTGAGGCCCCATCCCTGGAGGGATTTCAAAGCCGGGTTGCCATAGTGCTTAGAGCCATGGGTTAGTGATGGGTTTTATCAGAGTTAGGGTGATGGTTGGACTAGATGATCTTGAAGGACCCTTCTAACCCGGACAATTCTATGATTCTAACTGGAAGAGCTTTCTGCACCGACCCAGGGCACAGGACACAGTGAAGGACACTGAACTCACAGCTCTGCCCTCTCCTGCCCCGATGGTTTCCCCAGGAGCAGCCTCACCTGTGTATGCAGAGAGCAGCCAGGTGCCGATGAGAGGGGCGAAGGTCTGGCCTGGCTTGGTGACCAGAGCCACCATCCCAAAGAGCAGCGCTGAGGCTGCCTGCTTCCTGCGGTTCAGGACTAGATCTTCATCCACCAAGTCTGTGACCACCAGGTTGAGCAACTTGCAGGTCCCTTCTGTGAACACTCGGTTGCTGCAGAACAACAGGCAAAGCGCTGAATGGAGGCGTCAAGAAATGACAGGAGTGTGTGGGAGAGAGGGTTGAGAAAGGTTCCCCAAAACTTCAACTAAGAACTTCAGAAGCCCTGGCTATGGGAGGGGAACTGCTAACAATTGCATACCCTGCTGTGACACCTTGGATCAGTCCTGACCTGCCACACAGACAGGGCTGGGGACACACTGGGCCAGTAGCAAACAGGCAGCTGCAGCACATACCCCTCTGCTCTGCTCTTGTGAGGCCCCACCTGGAGTGCTGTGTCCAGCTCTGGAGTCCTCAGCACAGGAAGGACATGGACCTGTTGGAACGGGTCCAGCGAAAGGCCACAAAAACGGTCCGAGGGCTGGAGCCCCTCTGCTGTGAAGACAGGCTGAGAGAGCTGGGGGTGTTCAGCCTGGAGAAGAGAAGGCTCTGGGGAGACCTTATAACGGCCTTCCAGTACCTGAAGGGGCTCCAGGAGAGATGGGGAGGGACTCTTGGTCAGGGAGTGGAGCCACAGGACGAGGGGTAATGGTTTTAAATTGGAAGAGGGGAGATTTAGATGAGATACCAGAAAGAAACTCTTTGCTGTGAGGGTGGTGAGACCCTGGAACAGAGAAGCTGTGGCTGCCCCATCCCTGGAGGGGTTCAAGGCCAGGCTGGATGGGGCTTGGAGCAACCTGGTCTGGTGGGAGGTTTCCCTGCCCAGGGCAGGGGGTGGGAACTCCATGATCTTTAAGGTCCCTTCCAACTCTGACCATTCTATAATTCTATACTGAGGTCTGTGGCCACAGGCAGGCTGCAGAGGAGGTGGGGAGCTCGGCTCTGCAGCCAGGAGAGGCTGCCACCAACCCTGCCGGGTCTCTGTCCCCTGAACATCCCTGCCTCCCTCACCCTGCTGCAGGCACCGCCTACAGATTCTGCAGTGGCCCGTCCCGAGCTCAGGCACAGTCACAGCTGGGACCCTCATGGCTTCTGTGTGACCCTGGTCACTGCTCCCCACCTCCCACTCTTCTCTGTAAATCAGGGACAAGGCATTTCCCCTCCCAGGGGTCAGGAGGAGCAGGGCAATGGAGTGCTGCCAGCCTACCTGGCAATGAAGATGCAGAGCAGATACACCTGGTCGGGTCCTGCCAGGAGCATGACAACGCTGAGAGCCAGCTTCAGGAAGAAAAGTCCTCGCACCACAGCGTAAACCCCACAGCGGCGGCAGAGGGAGAGGAAGTAGAGGTTGTTGAGATGGGGGGCAATGTAGGAAACACCTGAGGAGAGACAGAGGCACAAATAGCTTGAGGGAGTTTCAGTATCCACCACGTCCCCAGGACCGATACTGAGAGAGGGGACACGGCTGGTCACCACCAGCAGGGCTGTAGGACACAAAGTAGAGACTAGTCCCCCCCGCACACACAGAGGCTTTGTGGCACAGCACACACTCTTCCTACAGACAGAAGGTTCTTCCATCAACCTCATGGGCAGGAAGGAAGAAAATACTTTGCCCAGTGTCACACAGGACCTGGGACTCAGCCCTGGAGCAGAAATGAGAGGGAGGGGACAGCATGACCAGACCTGGCCCACACAGAACCCTCCCAGGGTACCTCTAGGACCGGTGCCCACAGATCTGGGGCAGCCTGTGCCACACAGAGAAAGGGATTAAATGCAGGGCTGTGTTCCCTCTTGCATCCTGGGGACACTGTTTGCAGGCACTAATGCTCAGAGCAGTATCTCTGTGGCACCTAAGCCAGAGTCCCAGGGAGCCAAGGCTCCAAGTCACTTCTGTGCCCAGGAAGGAAGATCCAGGGAAGCACGTGGGAAGTGTGACCCAAAGACTGGCGTGTGAGCACATCTCTCCCCAGAGCAAATCCAGACCCAGGCCAGCTCCTAACCCGGCTGCTCCTTCCAGTCCCACCTGAGACTCACCGAGCAGGAAGGATCCAGTAGAGACAGAGATCTGGTCTGACAGCAGGTGCTCCAGGAACAGGGGGAAGAAGTTGCTGTTAAAGTGGCAGTGAAAAACCTGTGAAGGCAGCATGCAGATGAGCTGGTCAGCATGAACAGCAGTAAGAGAGAACAGAAAAAGCCTAACAGCTCTCTGGGCTCTGTTATCCTAGGAGCCCTGTGCCAAGGGACCATGCAGGATGGGCCTGGAGTAATTGAGCAGAGCAAGAGCCTGGTTTTGGAGTTCAGGACACTGTGGGCTTTGAGACTGCAAAGCTGTAACACCACCAGCCATGCCCACTGCACCCCTGGGGGCAGTACTGCTGCTGGGACAGGCAGGGCAAGGAGGTGACAGCAGAGACCACGAGGGCTTGGGGGAGACAGTGGCATGGCAGAAGGGAGGAGGCAGCTGTCAGGAGGACAAGGATAAGGTGGCAGCAAGGCTCAAGGCTGGAACACAAAGATGCAGAGCAGCATCAAGAGCCTGAGGGGAACTGAGGGATTGCTGGGGAGACGGGAGCTGTGACTGCAGCACCCCAAGCTGGGCAGGCTTCTGGCATTTGGTAGTAATCACTGAAAAGGATGAAGAACAGAAATGGCAAAAGCTATTTGGGAGGTGGATCCATCTGGACAGCTGAGAAGAGCGATGGGAGCCTCAGGAAAGCAGAAAGAGGAGACACTGCTGACAGCCACACTAGCAAGCTGCACTCCAGAACTCATCCCCACCACGAGCCAGGCCCTGTGCTTCTGCACCGCAGAGCTCAGCCAGCCCCCATCATCCAGCCTGCGCCGTGGAGGGAGGAAGGAAAACCCCACAGCTCGCTCAGAAGTACTCTCAGGTCACAAGCAGGGAGAGTGGCTACCAGCTGCTGAATCAGCCAGGGTGTGCAGGAGGCTCCAAAAGCAAGTGGGTGCTGGAAACACCTCTGCCCTTCCTGGGGATCTCACATATCACCATCTCACCCTCTGAATCACAACCCGTCGCCGCCGCACCCACCTGGACGAGGTTCATGCAGACAAACCAGAGGAAATTGCGATGCCGGGAGAGCTGCTGGAGATACTCTGCCAGGGTGATCCTCTTCTCCTGGGGGACGGAGAGTTTCTCAATGTACAGCCTAAAGGGAGAGAAAAAAAAAACCACAAAAAAAAAGCAAGCAACCTCACACCAAGCAGGGGAGAGCCCCCAGCCCTCCCTGTGTAAATGCAAAGCTGTCTCTCCCCAGCTCCCATCCCAACTTTCCCTCTCCCTGGATCAGGAGTCTACAACGTTTGCTTATTGCTAGCAAGAACCACAGGCAACGGGCCTCCCCAGGAAATTTGGCTTCTGAACTTCAAAATTCAGACTTCAGTCTACAAAAGCATTCTCCTCTTATCAGCCATCCCACTCTGCACAGGCTCCTCTTCCACCTCCCTGCGTTAGCTCTCACCTGGCAGATCTCACCAGCACCTGCCGCGTTAGTACAGCGTCACGCCGGCAGCTCAGTGCCCCAGCCACGTGAGGCAGCCCAAGGGGAAGCAAGGGAGCTGAACAGGGGGAAAAAAACCAGCTGCGTGGTGACCCACCAACAGCCCAGCCACTACCAGGCAGCTAAAGCGAGTGACAGGGGAAGGGACATTGGCTTTGTCCCACCCCAGAGGAAACAGCCAGCCAGGTGGTCTCATGCTCAAGCAGGGACGCTCTCCCGACAAGCTGCTTCTGACATTTTGCCACTCACAGGCCTCACTGGGTGCTCTAGATATTAACTCATTTCATGTTCCAAACACTGGATGGGCCACACCAGAAGGTCAGGGCTCTGCCTCCAGTTTGGGCCAGGCGTGTCAGGAGATAGTTTTGTCCTATTTTCAGAAGGCCTTAGCAGCCAGTGTGACAGAGGTGATTCGCAAAACTGTATCAACAGACAAGAACCATAAATGATTAACAAAAATTTGTCTCGTCCTGGACCTTCCCACACATTCAGTTCGCCGCAGCGCGCAAAAGGACTCTACAGATCTACGCCAGGCCTTTGTCCCTGCTGCAGAAATGATGACACTTACTCTTTTAGGGTTGATTCCTGGTCCCATTTTGCTTTCCCATCAGCCTCAAACCGCTGGCGAAGCAGCTGGGTGGACAGGGTGAAGCCGAGGCTGGAGCAGAGGGCCAGCACCACGCAAAATATGCGAAAGGAAAAGAAGTCCTCTTTGTTCCACACCGCGTAGGACATGAACACAGAGAGGGAGCCTATGGCACTGAAGAGGGAGCAGTAGAAGTTGAGGCTAGTCCTGTCTTTTGCTGAAACAGCCAGGTCCGCCAGCAAGGCGTTGTGATGGAGGTCGACCATGGTGAGGAAACTGTCGTACATGCAAAGGCAAAGGAGGAACTGCAAACCAGGATGAGCCCAAGCAACCCAGAAAGCCAGGAAAGAGATGGCAAAGAGGGGGCCATTGTGGCTTAGCGCCCTGAGCCTCTTCAAAACTACTTCTGGAGAGGAAATCTCTGCTCCTGGCCTGCAAGAGAAGACACAGATTTTAGACACTTGGACAAAACCCTGTTTGACCCATGTATTCTCCCTCTCCAAAGAAGTTGTGTGAGCAGCCTAGACGCAAATACAGCTTTTGCTCATGCAACAAGCACCCACATCACATACGTTCTCAGCTAATACGTGAACATACTGAAAATATGGGTTTAAGAAGGTCAAAGAACATGAAGGGACTATTTTTTTTCTCCAGAGCAAGTCTCTCCCTGAGAGAGCTGTTTTGCACAACGTAAATCATTTCAATAAGAAGTTTTTACTAGCTGCAGGAAGCCACACCACGATTTTCATTAAAAGCTTCACATAAATACATGAGAAATGCTAATGCCAACCGTGATTCATGATCCAGAAAGTTTGGGAACAACTGGTCTGTGGCATTCCAGGCAGAAATAGTCCTTTCCCACCTGGTGTCTCCCAAACCATGTACAGACACTCTCCAACATCCTACTAAAAGAATTACTCCTACAGCAACGGGCTTGAGATTTTAGATGCCCACATATCAGGTTCTGTACCACCCACGTGATTGTTAAGGGTTAGGGTCACATCTACCCGACAGACATGCGACCTCTATACAGCCAGGTACTGAAATAACGTGCAAACAGCACTGAACTTCAAAAGTGCCAGGAAAAGGAGGTATTTAAGAGTTTCATGTTTCAGAAACCATTCCCACGCCCCCATTTTAAAGCTTTCAATTTCTCACCACCACCCCCCAAGAGACTGAACAGCTTCCCAGCCTCTGTTGGAAATGGAATTTAACTTACTGCTGTGTGCTAAGGAACACTCGGTCGCTCAGCCAGCCAAAGAGAGGGTCATTGAGGCTGTTCCAGATCAGAAACACTGTCTAAGAAAGAAAACAGGACAGTGAAACAAACCAGAGGACACCTCAGTTCTGTCAGTGAAGCAAGCATTGCTGAGCTGGACAACCAGCAGGAACCATCCCAGTTCACCTTCCCTGCCCCATCACCACTCTATGATTCCCCTCTCTCTGGGACAACTGCCAGAGCGAGGGCAGAGGTTTTCCCTGCTTTCCCCGGAGGAAAGGCAGTCTGAAAAACAAAGTCTCTGGGTTTTCTATCCCAGCTTGTTCTATTTTTATGCAAATGGAAAACACTGAAAAGCCCAGTTAGCACTGGGAAGGCTCCTTTGCTCCCTCACCAAAGGGCAACAACACTGCTATTACAGCTAAGGCTCCCAACACTTCTAGCAAGGAGTCTTGGTTTCAGAATTTTGCATTGAAGAGGGCAGTTGGAAAACACTCACCTCTCCTATCCAAAAGGACAGTTTATCAATCTTGTAAACAGAGACAAAGGTGTCCACGTAGTACAGGAGGAACACATTGTGCAAAATGGAAACGAAGAGCGACAGGGAGCCGTAGATCACCGCGGTGGGCAGATGAAAAAGACAAGCCAACAGTCGCAACCCCATGTTGGTGTGGTCAACGTTCAGCTCCCTCCATCACCTCCACTTCAGATGGGATGTCTCCTCCCAACACCTGCTACATCTTTGTTGGGGCCAATCCATTGTTGCTCCTGCAGGAGAGGAAAAAAAAAAAAAAAACACAAACAAAAGCCAACAGATTCAATTTCTTAAATTAACTAAAAGTTCAATCAAATTAATTGGTCAATCTTTTGCCAGCAGAGATCAGAATTCATATTGCTTTGAGGAGCTGTTCAAAAGTGGATTGGAGGGGATTTAAGAGACTGAAAGCTGTCTGCTGCACTAAAGCTGTTTCATTAAGCTGAGGCCAGGCTGCGGGCTCCCGGGGGTGCGACTGTCTCCTCGTCAGCAGCCTGCCCCGTCCTTTACCCCCTAATGTTCTTTGTCATCCAGCAAGCAGCCGATTAGCTCTCTCCAGCTCTTTAAAGGCAAGGTCACAGGAGGAATCAAGCTAGAGAGCTGCCAACGGCAAAGCAAGCCTTCAGAAAACACACCTAAGTCACTCCCGGTTTAGATACCAGCGTAAATTTTTTAGCCAAAAATAAAATGGCAAGGGCCGTGATGTAATGTCACACGTGCAGGCTGCCTTCCCCCCCCCAGTCACCGCTGACTGCACCTGGGCTGGCTCGGGCAGGAGTTATTTATGGCAAGCAGGGCTGATGCTCTGTGCTATGAAGAGATACGACCAGAACACGACGGCGTGCGGCAGGCAGGCTGCTGTCCTGAAATAAAAGCAACCAGGAGTCACTGAACAGCTGTCCAGCTCGTCTTGGAGCACCCTGAATTTTAGGATCAGTGTCTGAAATAAAGATGCTTTGGCTGGCTGGCAATATATGTGGAAATAAAGCCAGTGGGAACTGCGGTGTTATACCAGAGCTAGTCACTGTATCTTCACAAGGGGCTAAGTTGTGAGGGGAGGACTCCTTTCATCAGCACTGACTGGGGCTCACGGGCAGGAGGTGGGACCATCATCCTCCCATGATGGGGAATCACAGAATTGTCTGGGTTGGAAGGGACCTTTCAGATCATCCAGTCCAACCATCACCCTAACTCTGATAAAACCCATCACTAACCCATGGCTCTAAGCACTATGGCAACCCGGCTTTGAAATCCCTCCAGGGATGGGGCCTCAACCCCTTCCCAGGGCAGCCCATTCCAAGCCTTAAGAACCCTTTCCGTGGAAAAATTGTTCCTCATCTCCAATCTGAACCTCCCCTGGTGCAACTTGAGGCCATTTCCTCTGGTCCCATGGCCTGTGACTTGGGAGCAGAGACCGACCCCCCCTGGCTACACCCTCCTTTCAGGGAGTTGGAGAGAGCCAGAAGGTCTCCCCTCAGCCTCCTTTTCTCCAGGCTGAACCCCCCCAGCTCCCTCAGCCTCTCCTCATCAGACTTCTTCTCCAGACCCCTCCCCAGCTCCATTGCCCTTCTCTGGACCCTTGTGCTTTTCAGACTAAGCCCCCTCTCGCACTGAAGTCACTACAGATCAAAGGCAGAACACAGGGCACCCCTTCAGAGGCACTTGTGTATCTGGTGAGATGTTAAGTGTTCTTAAATCAGTGTAAGTCAGCTTCTCCAGCCTGTGCTATCAGAAGAAGCCCTGTTCACAGCATAACAGCATACACGTGACAGGTGACAACAAGGTCACTATCTTAACGCTGTCAGAAGCAAGATAAAGGGCTGGAAGTTGCTCCCGTTTCAGCCCTCCAGGGTCTGCACTCACCCAGCTCAGCCATGGTGTGGGGACTTCACGAGGTGGGATAAGGATGAGCACATCAGAAATGGGAAACTACGCACCAAGCCAGCCCTCTCAGGCTTGCAACATCAGCTGCAGCCAGTCCAAGCAGAAGATCAAAGGGGAAGAATAAGCGGATGGGTATGAAACCGGATGAAACTCCAGTCCCATTCAGCGTTTCCCAGAAGCCGTGAGTCTGACCACTTCTATCTCGGCAAGAATTAGAAAAGCAAAAATAACCATCTGCTTTGCCTAACCCAAGGAATTCCTCATAACTAGTTTAGAAGGAGCAGGAACAGGACTTGTTCCAATGAATTACATCACTAGATTGAAACTGCACATCGGCTCCACGCGTAGCCAAAGCACTAGACCTCAGCTGGATCCAACTGCAGAGCCCTCGTGGAGCGGAGCCACCATCCTGCATCCCCACCAGGCCAAAACCCACCCCCAGATAAAAGCTAAGACACTGCTTGGAGGGGACTTCAGCCAGACAATGAACTTTTATAGGTGGAATTAAAGACAGACAAAGCTCAAGGGGAAATTGCATTTTCCATGGTCATGAATTGAAAAGGAGTCAAGAATTTGTGATGTGGAAAGATAAAGGTTAAGAAGTAAAAGCTAAGCCAACTGACCCTCTGATGAGTCCTCTGTCTCTCTTCTGCAAATGACTGGGTCAAGGAGAGATGAAGCCACCAGAGTGCTGGGCACCCTCACAAACTGGATGGAGATCAAGTGGACAGCATCACTGTGCATCATATGAAACCTGAGTGAATCCAGACCTTGACCACTGCATGTACATCTCACCTCACTACAAGCTTCCTGAGACATAGAACTGAGAGGGATCAAAGAAGGGCAACTAAAGTGATCAAGGGACTGAGGCAGCTGCCTGCTGAGGAAAGACTAAAGAGGTGGGACTCTTCAGGAAGGGAGGAAAGGCTGAAGGGGGGCATGATCTGACCACAAAAGACTCTGAGGGGCTGGAATGGGTCCAGAGAAGGGCAACGGAGCTGGGGAGGGGTCTGGAGAAGAAGTCTGATGAGGAGAGGCTGAGGGAGCTGGGGGGGTTCAGCCTGGAGAAAAGGGGGCTGGGGGGAAACCTTCGGGCTCTCTCCAACTCCCTGAAAGGAGGGGGTAGCCAGGGGGAGTCGGTCTCTGCTCCCAAGTCACAGGCCATGGGACAAGAGGAAACGGCCTCAAGTTGCACCAGGGGAGGTTCAGATTGGAGATGAGGAACAATTTTTCCATGGAAAGGGTTCTTAAGCCTTGGAATGGGCTGCCCAGGGCAGGGGTTGAGGCCCCATCCCTGGAGGGATGTCAAAGCCGGGTTGCCATAGTGCTTAGAGCCATGGGTTAGTGATGGTTTTATCAGAGTGAGGTTGATGGTTGGACCGGATGACCTGAAAGGTCCCTTCCACCCCAGACAACTCTATGATCAAGGTTTACAGAGCCCCACGTGCAGTGGATAAGGTGAAGGTGGAACCGTTGTGTACCAGAACATAAGAACTGGGAGCACTCACTCTAACTAGCAGGAAAATAGTTCAAAGCACATGAAAATACTTCCCTACCTGGCAGGCAGCAAACATCTGACATTTGCTGCCAAAGGAGGTTCCACAGATGGGTGGCAGCTCCACAGGATTAGACAAATTCATGGAAAACAGCTGCACACAAACAGCTACGAGAGAGAACAGGCAGGAAAATCCTCTCTGGTGTCCCTAATCCCAGCACTGTGCCTGCTGGGGGTGGACAAGCAGAAAGACCCACAGACAGAGGCCAGGCCGACGTGTTCTCCCTCTAAATAGCATCTCCTGCTGCTGCTGTGGGGCAGAATGTGGGGTGAGACAGACCAACGGCTAGGGCTATTCTTAACCTGGGCTTGACTTTGCTCCCCAACGCCTGTCTGAAAGCAAAGCCGGCTCTCGGCTCGGTCCTTAGCGCTGCACTTTACACGTAGTACCCCTACAAATAATACTGCACTAAGCACATGCTGCACAAACCACAGCTGCTGAAGTTTCCAGAGACACCTCATTTTGCCATTTTTATGCTACGGCGCTGTTTAAAGGCGGCAAAGTTCCACTTCCTCTCCTCCTCCCTCGTCACTCCCTCGCAGATGCGCAACCCCCTCCAGCCAGCTGACATTTCTAAGTGATTTCACTTTGCTGGGAGAGTTGTTAGGTCATTTTATATTTTTATATATATATATTTTTTCCCCTCCCCATCTGCAAATGTGCAGACGAGAAGAAACAAATCACAGTTGTTTGTAAAAAATAGATTGTGCTTCTACATCCAAAGCAGTGTGTTATTTAAGCTTGCCACAGTGGTATTTTCATAACCTTTTCCTTGGGATGGAGAATTACTCACGGAGTATGTCAGAACTTTTCAACGTTGGGTTGTAAGCAGTAATGGGAAAAGGAGCTGCAGGAGGGAATAGCTATCATTCATTCGCGCTGAACTTCTAACGCACAGTCATAAAAGCAACAAGCTCGTAAATTAGAAAGCAATGAGCCTTTATTTCAGAAACTTCCACCTCCGCCTCTGACATCTGGCGTCACTCCTGCCAGTGACGTTTGCAGATCTTATCTTTTGGAGAAGGATGTTTGAACAGTGGCTACCAGGAAAGCATCGCTTTTGTTTGAGCGTGCTGGCTGGCAACACACCACAGCCTGGAGCTCGCACATCTGTTCTAACTTCCCAGCCAGCTCACAGCTGGATTCACCAGTCACTGCGTCCCACGGCCATTCAGCAACCCCTTGGCCTTCCAATGAGCCTGAGCTCCAGCCTTCCACAGCTGAAGCCAGTTGTACTGAGTTGCCAACAGAGCCATCTCCATGAATCTTGGCCCAAGCCAGCCTTTTAAGCAGGGCCAGATGACTCTGATTTGCCAAAGCTGCCACTCAGGAACCTGAAATAGTCATCTGCAGACCTGACCGCAGTAACGGGATGACTCGCCCGTTCACTCTCCACTACGTGGTTAACACAGGCTGGAATATCCCAAATAATACTTCAGGATATGACAGTGCTTGCTCCAGTCATCCCTATGCTGCCTCTGCTGCATATTCTGGATTTTAGGTGGCTTACTAGCTAAAGCAAAGGGCCAGAAAAATATACCAGCTTGGTGTCTCTGCATCTGCTACACGATAAATCCGCTATCTGGACACACCACCCAAGAGAGGACCCTATTTCTAGACATTCATTATGGCCAGACAGGACTGGGACTGCTGGTGGCCCAGCCCCATTCACAGGGAAGCCATTCACGAGCTGTGCCCATCACAGAGCTGCTGCCCTGTGACCCATCCCAGCACCACATCAATCCTTCCTGGACACCATAAGTGATGGTCTTGGCCAGGGGAAGGAGTCATGGACATCTTCATCTGGTCAGGCTCATCTGTCAGTGACAGCTCAGCTTTGTCAGCACAGACCAGGTTCTGCACGCTCCTTCCCACCCTGTGTGTGGCACCCCAGGAGGTCTCCAAAGCACAGATACCAGAGTGGGTCCTCACCTCATGAAGCTACTCAGATTCTGGCACGACTTGGTTCAAGTAAGATGGAAAATCCTTCCACAGAGCTACTTCACTAACTTAATGAAACTGCAAGAGCCTCCACTTAAATCAAAAAAAGTCTCAAAATCTTTTTCCTATCCCAGGAAAACTCTGATCTAGACACTCCACAAAACTTAGGCTCCTCTGACCAAACTCCGATCCCTTACACCCTCTTAGAGATGGATATATCTCCATGACTCCAAGTTTCTCCACTGCATTACTTCTGAAATCCTAACCCCACGTTTTCTCAGATAATCCACTTGCTGACAGAGAGCCTTGGGGGAATGCTAAACCCAGTCCTACGTGAAACACTAATGAACTCCCCAACAGCAGCCTGGTCTCTGAACAGTAAAGTGATGAAACCTGTGAAAACCTGATGCTACCTGGGTCAGACAAGGAAACGTGACTCTTCGAGGAGGCACTCAGGGTGTTTCCCACTACTGTTTACCTGTTCAATAGCAGATGCCTACGTATCATGGGATGTTGGGTAACACCCTTCTTATTAAGGGCAATCATGTGCCTCCATCAGGTGCTGCCCTTGCTCCCGCAAAGTTCAAACCATAAACAGAACTGCCACACAGAGGACAATCAACATCTTGAAGCAGCTGGTAGTTTCGGGGAACTGTGTTCCAGCCGAGCAATCTTGTTAAATCAGATCTCATTCCCTAATGAGATTACGAGGTTCGTTAATAGAGGCAATCCGGTAGATCTCATAGTCTTGGAACCTTGTAACACATTAACAGCACATGGCATCCCTTTTCTAAGCAATTAATTCTTTCACAGTGTACAGATGTATTAAATACTGGTTCCCCAGGATGTTATTAGAATCACAGAATGGTCAGAGCTGGAAGGGACCTTAAAGATCATCGAGTTCCACCCCCGCTGCCCTGGGCAGGGACACCTCCCACCAGACCAGGTTGCTCCAAGCCCCATCCAGCCTGGCCTTGAACCCCTCCAGGGATGGGGCAGCCACAGCTTCTCTGGGCAACCTCTTCCAGGCTCTCGCCACCCTCACAGCAAAGAATTTCTTTCTAGTATCTCATCTAAATCTCCCCTATTCCAATTTAAAACCATTACCCGTCATCCTATGGCTCCCCTCCCTGACCAAGAGTCCCTCCCCATCTCTCCTGGAGCCCCTTCAGGTACTGGAAGGCCGTTAGAAGGTCTCCCCAGAGCCTTCTCTTCTCCAGGCTGAACACCCCCAGCTCTCTCAGCCTGTCTTCAGAGCAGAGGGGCTCCAGCCCTCAGATCATCATATTATTAATATAAGCTCTAATACCATAGTGGACTTCACAGCACTGATACGGGGACCCCTGCCAGGTAACTCTGGCCTCAAATTAAAAATCTGAAAGTAAATATAAAACCCTTGCTGAATACAACTGCCAAGAATGAAGTCACAGAAGCTGGAAGAGGGGATTGCTACACAGATAGAGCCTGTTCTCGTTCAGACCCAACAGGAAGCACAAGGTGAGAAGCACTTTTTAACACTCTGCCCAAGCAGCAGTGAATAGGAGTTTCTGCTACACCATCTCCATCACCTCTCCATGGAGACTTCTCACCTCTGCAAACCTTTCAAAGCTGCAGTCACCCCCTGAACCCCCCAAATGCAGCCGCCAGCCACAGGCCACTAACTGAATGGCTGATGGAAGCCCAGCCGCGGAGGCCACCAGAGATCTCTGTGGCTTTTAGGACTGGAAAACCCAGCACTAGGTCACCCGCTGAAGTACCTGGTGGCCCACCCAAGGGAAAGGAACAGAAGGAGCCAGGAAATGCCTGCAAAGCCAGGCCCGGGATGGGGATGCCGTTTCTTTAGCTACCAAGGGGATGAGCCTGAGCAGTAGAGCTACCACCAGCACCCCAGAACCATCCAGCCCCCTATCTACACATCCCCCCCGTGCCAGGAGAGGCCTAGCAGCCCTGTGAGAGGAAGCCATGGCCAGGGAAGGGCCTGTGGTGGGCTCCCACTCGGGCTCCACGGGGGCAGAGGGTTGTGCTGCTCAGGCAAAGGGAAGGTGTCACAGGGTCATGGTGGGCCAGAGCCCCGCTCCACGCTTCCAGGTGCGGTGGTGCAACGCCAGGGCCACCTCTCCTCGCCGGGACCCTCCGAGGGGGTGGGAGCCAGACCCCAACCGCCTCCAGAGCGGGGCACAGACGGACCGAGCCCCCCCTCCGCCCGCCAGCAGTGACAGCGGGGAGGCAGCGCACCCCCCGCGCCCGCGTGGGACGGTCCAGAGGAACGGGGTGGGAGGCGCACCCCAGGGCTCTACCAATGCGGGGCGGGGGGAGCCCCCCCATCCCGCAGGGGCCGCATCACCGCAGAGGGGGGGTCTCCCCCACCCCGCCCGGACGGCCCCGCTGCAGGAGGGGAGACAAACGCAGGCCGGTATCGAGGAGAAGGAAGCACCGCAACGTATCCCCCCTCCCTCTCCCTCTCCCCCGTGTCGCCCCCTCAGCGCCTCCTACCTCCGTCCGTTACCGGCGCTGCCGCCGCCGAACCGCACCCCCGCGCATGCGCGTCCCGCCGCAGCCTGACCCCGCCCTGCCGCCCGGCGCCATCTTGTGTCCTGGCAAGTGAAGCCGCCCCCTGCCGGCCGGCCGCCATCTCGTGTGCGGTCACTGCCCTGGCAGTCACAGAGCTGTCTGGGCTGGAAGGGACCTTTCAGATCATCCAGTCCAACCACCAACCGAACTCTGATAAAAACCATCACTAACCCATGGCTCTAAGCACTATGGCAACCCGGCTTTGAAATCCCTCCAGGGATGGGGCCTCAACCCCTCCCCTGGGCAGCCCATTCCAATGTGCAATAACCCTTCCTGTGTCAAAATTGTTCCCAATCTCCAATCTGAACCTCCCCTGGTGCAACTGGAGGCCGTTCCCTCTTGTCCCATGGCCTGTGACTTGGGAGCAGAGACCGACCCCCCCCTGGCTACACCCTCCTTTCAGGGAGTTGGAGAGAGCCAGAAGGTCTCCCCTCAGCCTCCTTTTCTCCAGGCTGAACCCCCCCAGCTCCCTCAGCCTCTCCTCATCAGACTTCTTCTCCAGACCCCTCCCTAGCTCCGTTGCCCTTCTCTGGACCCGCTCCAGCCCCTCAATGTCTTTTCTGCTGTGAGGGACCCCAAACTGGACACAGTATTTGGACACAGCTGGAAGCCATCCTGGCCTCCTGCAGTTCCTCGGGTTCCCAGGCCCTGGCCCAGCCACCATTGTTAAGGGGTAGCAGTGAAGGCATGGTGGTCCCAGGCCTCATCCAGCGGGGTGCCCTCCAGCACACAGGCCACCCCCAGGACCTGCCACCCTTCACCATGGGGCTGGAAGAGACACGGGGCAGGGAAGCACAAGATGCCTCTTGGTGAAGACAACTGGATCTGTGGTGCCTTCTCACCTCAAACACGCCGAGGTGCTCCAAGGGAGCCTCAAAAGAGCATTGTGCCAACCTGCAAAATGACAAAGTGAAAACAAAACAGCAAGTGTGGCTGCTCAGGGGCACATAGCCTTCCCTGTAATCCATCAGATTCCCTAGTTGTCTCTGGACTTAGTCATCAGCTGCTTATGCCTCTCTCCCAAGACTTATTTACATTATAGAATCATAGAATTGTCTGGGTTGGAAGGGACCTTTCAGATCATCTAGTCTAACCATTAACCTAACTCTAATAAAAAACATCACTAAAACATGTCTCTAAGCATTATGTCAACCCGTCTTTTGAATAACTCCAGGGATGGTGCCTCAACGTTTCAGAAAACAGAGACTGTTATCTTTTAATATCCTTTATTATCTCTTGTTGGAGCTTTCTCTCAAAGAAGCAACTCCTGTTTGCGGCATGCACATCACCCTCCAGCCCTCACCACAACAGTTCCCTCCATCCAAATATTTGCAAATCTCACCAGGAAAAGCTGAGGCAAAAGCCTAGTTGCCATGTTCAGAAAAGCATCATTGTATTCTAGTACTTCCCAATGTTTTTGTGTATTGGACTTACAAGCAGCTTCCTAAACAGGTAATGTCTATAAATTTATAGTGTTGCTCTAAGTCGGTAAAATAGGAACTCACTGAGACTCAATTTAAAGTTTTAGAAAGCAGACATTCTTTACTGCAGCACCAGGTGCACAGGGGATCTCACCCCCTATTGTGCACACAGAATGCTGTCGTCAAGCCACATTTCTACACGACAAGTACACATATTCATTACAGTTCCAAGAATTCATTTACATATTATAATGAGCTTTTGGGCATGCATATTTGTGCCTTCTGGTGGTCCTGATCCTGAGTGAGGGTAATTTCTTCCTCAATCTTCACCTTCTTCACCTGTCCTTTGGCTCACTTTTCATGTTGGCAAAACATTCTAACTGCTTAATTAACCATTAAAACTAATGATCTTCCGGCTACAGTCTGTTTGTCAGACAATGTCCATACTTATTGCATCCCTGTCTTAGGCCACCATGTTCTCAAGGCCACAGACATCCTTTCTTTTCTTACTAGGTCCGTGGAAGGATTTGGGATGGTTACTAAAATAGCTGCATTTCTTCTCTGAAAGAACATTCCAAGAGTTTAACCATTTATGGGAATGCATAAAGTCTGCTTTAGGTATCAATAGAAACCAGGCAATTAATTGCCGTCAACAGGTTTTGTAATTACAGAGTGATTTGTAGGCATTTAGCTTCAGCCATGGAGATCACCTGCAGTCGAGGAAAGCACTAGTGTCCCCAAGGAGTGTGCGGTGGTGATGCTAAGCCACAAGGAGCTGACCTGACAGACCAAACTACCCTGTTCACACCTGCATGGGGATTTGTACCTATAAAGACCCACTGCAGCACAGGTGCTTGCAATGAGACAGAGCTGATGGGAGCCATTTGGATGGCTTCTTACTCAATTACAACCTGCTGAGTACAAAACCAGCTTGGTTTTCTGTAGCTGAGTGTGGATAAAAAGCTGTGGGGGTAAAGCAAGTTAAAAGTGGGGTTTATTTTTAAAGTGCTTGGTGGTGGGTTCTTTTATGTCCTATTCAGTCTGTAACTTTAAAGTTTATGGTGCTTTGAGTATTGCTGATGGTGATTTTCTGCTCTGAGGAAGAACCTGAAATTTTGGTAAGTGCTTTTGAGATCTTTTTTTTGTGCTGGCTTCATGTGCTGACTTTAGTTGTTCTTTTACTTATATTATCTACCCTTGCTATGCCTGAGTTCTTATATTCAAGTTCTGTTGGATTTTTTTTGGTAAGGTGTCTCGTTAGCTAAAACACATACCTTGCGTTAGCTTTAGTAGCCTTGCTTATAGCCAGCTAGGCTTAAAGCTCCCCGTCTGAGCATGTAACATAACTGCTGAAGGAATGAGCTTCTTGTTGTTTTCTTTTGCTACAAGGGCATGTTCAGGCAGGTATTGTCTCCTTGGTTACTGCAGGAAAGCTTCTGCAAGGTGTTATGTCTGTGTGTGTCATTAAGGTATGTCAGTGAAAACACACTATGGAAAGTAAGCTGCTTTCTTAAGATCAGGCTGTGTACCCTACTGTTTCTTGTTCCTCAGTTAAGTGAAGGCATCATCTTGGCTGGGTTTTCTTTTCAGTATGTGAGTACATGCACACCTAACAGATGTCTGTCTCTGCTTTCTGCACTTAAAACTTGTTTATGTTGCAATGTTTTTACTAGTTACAACAGCAAAACAGTACTAGGGCTAGATTAAATGTTTGTAGTAGTGGTGTATAACTGAGGTGTTCTGCGGTTTGCTTGGCTTTTTAAAAACACAAATGCTTAAATCTCTCTGGAGGCAATGGCTCTTTCACCCCAGCAAGCCTGTTCTTTTATCTAGTAGATGCAAGTCCACATATAGTAACATAACTTGATTGGGGCATTGATTCTAGCCTGTAACTTCCTAGCATCTTCTGCTTGTGAAAGATACTGATGTAAATTGTTATTGTTGTGCGATGACAGGCTTTAAACACTTTAGTTTGGAAAAAATGACATAGCAGGGCTTCTCTGAATGATTGTGTTCTTGGAAACACAAGATTGCCTTTTGATTCCTGTTAAAAAGAATCAATAATGTTGCTTGTGAGCATGTTCTGTATTGTCTAAAGACCATAACAGAAGGTAGTTGGATTCTTCCTTAAAAAAAAGACTAAAAAACAACACAACCCAAACCCCCAAATGCATTACAAAGTCATAGATCAGCAGATCTATTGTTTGCCTTAGGGGGTGCAATAAGAGCCGTATTCCCATGGGTAATTCTAGCTCAGATGTTTGCACTTAAGCTAGAAATACAGTGTGTGTTGTAAGAGAAAGCATTTTTATATGCTAAAGGGATGATCTGTAATACAACCCCGAGGTCTGGATAATCTGTTTCCTGCCCTGTCCCACCTTTTGGTGTGTTGATCCCATGGGAAGATTGAGTACAAACACGTAAGAAGCTGTGCTTTCCTTGCTTCTAAACAATACAACCTCGTTGCAGGATGCACAAGAACGAGATCCAAGTGTATTAATGTTTTAACTACTTGTGTTTTAAATGGTTTGCTGTGACGTTGGACACCAGTGTGTGTCAACAGTTGGAGGAAACCCACTGTGAGCATGAAGCCCCTCTGGAGAAGCAGGCTGTGTAACCAGCTAAGACCTCTGCAGGGTGTCAGGAGACTCTCCCAAAAACACTTCAAGGGCAAAAACTTGTAATCAAGCAGCCGAGAGAACAGGATGCTACGAAAGCACAAAAACAGTGTGCAAAACATCTTGGTCTGCTATGAAAACCGCCTGCGTGTGAGATAAGAAAGTGCCTGTAGGGAACTGGAGCTAGGCAGGAGGATCAAGGCTACAGTAGAATGATTTGTCTTGGAGTAGGTGAAGTAAACAATATAGAACCAGGAGGATCCAGATAATTATAGGGGTGTCTGAAGCAACTCTTGCAGAACCTTGTGATGCCACCTGTTCCCGTATCACTAACACTTGTGTAGGATGTAGAGATTGCCAAAGTAATGATATGGGAAATGCCCAACTCAGTTATGGATGTAGCAAAACCGAGACCAATGGGGAAGAAGTACTTAGGGGTGGATTGTCTCTTTGGGAGGAGACCGGCTGGAGGGAGGCACCAGCATGGCAGAAAAGTGAATCCTGAAATGAGAGAATAAGGTATGAAATGAGATGAAGGGAAGTGGGTTTAGCTGACTGCAGGAGACATCTGCAGATGGCCGTGAACCACTGGGATGCTGGAGTGATGCTCCTTGGGCAACTTGCTGGGCTCTCCATCAGGTCTATGTTGGAAAGACTCAGTGTGGGAGGGGAGAGCAAGCAGGGGCAGCCTTGCATTTAGTACTAAGTGCTGTGGGAGGGGAGGGTGATGCACCTGTAACTTAACAGCAGTCACTTGTGGTTCATGAGACTTGATTAGTAGCTTCATAGTTGTGTGTAAAAATGATATGAATAACCATGAGATATTAGTGGTGTGTTAATGAGGTTATCGATCATTCAGTTGATCTGTTGGTGTGATCAATAACAGTCTCCTGAGCCGGTTGTCTCAAGAGTGCAATCTGAAGGGGAACAGCTGGGCAGAAGC